CCCCAAAACCCCAAAACCCCAAAACCCCAAAACCCCGAGAGTAGCCTAAAAAATTGAGAATAAAAGTGTTCTATAATTATAAATTTAACCTTAGTTTGATTTTAATCTTCTTTACTTTTGTTACTTTTCTTCGATGCCTACAAATAGGTACCATTGATACATTGTTCTGATTCATGCTGAACGATGGATCAATAATAGAAGGAGTTACCTTGCGACCAGGCTCCTCTCCGTTTTTAGGTCTTCTTTTACTACGGTCTTTCTTCTTTGGTGCAACATCTTGATTACTTTTCTTAGCCTTTCTTCTGTAAATATAACTGACTATTGACTTTATTCAAAATCCAAGACATACGACGCTTCCAATTACAGGTGCCACCAATAAAATTTTAGTGTAATAATTTTCATAAAAAGGGGTCCAGCTTTCTTTGGTGTTAAGCCAAGACAATGGAACTGACAGACAGCAGAATAAGAGTTGGTTGATGATCTCGATGATGTTGTCTTGCATATTTTCAAATGGTCTAATTCCAGCCAAATACACTCAATACCCAATGTTGACCAAATAGAAATATGTGCCTTTGATTGATCCCGAAATAGCAGCCCCAAGTATCAAAAAGGATGATAGCATTAGCCTCACTAGCATGAACATACTCGAGTACATTTTAGAGAGATTGTTTGGCTTGATTCCGTTGAAATATTCAATGCATGGCCAGTACTTCTCCTTGTCAATTTCAGGAAATGATTTGTAGTACATGTAGAACGATAGTATGAACAGCACACTTGTTCATAAACAGAACAATACTCAAACTCCTAAAGACACCTTGGTTACAGTGGTGTCCAGATCAAAGTTGTAAAGCTCAGATAGGATTGATAAAGAAGTGAACAAGAACGCCTGAATAAACACTCGGATGTAAATATTAAATGTAAAGAATGTGAACAATGTGTTTATAAACTTCTTGTATTTTCTGTATTTTGAGTTCTCGGCTCATTGATTGCATACAGATATGCAAAAATGAATAATCCCTACCAGTACAATAACAGCCATCAACGACAAGTAGTTAACAAAAGAACTGCCAGACCTCAGCCCAAGGTTGTTCAGATATTCGTCAGACTGAGGATATGACACCCAATCAGATATGGCTTCAACAAACGGAATGTCTTTGAACTTGATAAAGTCGAACGAAAACATCGCGAAACCCATCCCACTCAGAAAGTCAAGCACTTTGGGTGAAAAATAATCTGGCACCAATGGAAGCAAGATTGCTAGTTGCAGACTGTTCATGATACTGAATATTGAATTGACTGATGACAGTGATAATATTGATGAGACACTGGCTAGTACCAAGCTTGATGTTACCATGGCTGTTACCACATTTGATGAAACCATGCTAGCGGAATCTTCAGTTGCTCCAGACACTGGAATAATTTTATTTCATGATTTTTGACCATCAGTAGCTTCATAGTCAGTGATTCATGTCTCTCAAAGATTAGAAGCACCCAACTGTCAGATTTCACAATTCAGGATGCTACATTGCTCAACAGTGATTTCAAACTTCTTGTGATAAATTTCGCTGTTGAATGCAATTTCGAGAGAGAAATAGTAAGTGGTGTCTTGATCAAGCTTAGGAGTTGTGTTCAGATGGAGTTCTTGGTTGTCTGGGTTCATGCTTACCCACTCTGGAATCACATTAGACCCAGTCTGCACAAGGCTAAAGGCAATGTCAGTGTTATTTGCAGATTGAGCTCAGGCCCAAGTAAAGTCCAGTTGCACAGAAGTGTTGCCTTGGACAGATTGGATGTAGTCTTGGTTCCACAGAGCCACATGAGTAGTGAATGATGGATTTGTTGTAGAAGTTATGTCAGTTGAAGTAACTGAAGTTGAGGTTGAGATTATCACTGTTTTTGTGCTTGATGTCAGACTAGGATTAGAAGATGTTGGAGATACTTGGTAATCACTAGTAATTGGTGAGAATAGAGGAGAGTCTTGTTCAAACTCTTCAAGCTGATCAATGCTCTTTGTTGATGTTCGAGCAAAATAAAATTTAGAGCCACTCGGGTAAATTCCAGAGTGATACATTAATTCTTGTCCTTTATATAATAACCTTCCCACAGCGAATGCTCTTGCTGTTCCAGACTTATATTCTGCTACTATCTCTGAGTTGCTGGTGCTTATTAAAATCAACCTTTTAGACAAGGCTAATGAATATGTTTTTATTTGAACAGCAATGAAATCTTCAAATTCTTTCATTGAGTAACTATCAAACAAGCTACTGTCGTTCCAAATAAAGCCTGAATTTTGAGGACTCCCATCAACAACACTGAGCTTATGAAAAATATAGTGCCCGTCATACAGGATCATTGTGTAAATCCATTTTTGATCCCTACTAATAATAGAAGAACTAATCTTGTTAAATCAGCCTGAAGTAGGACATGCAATACTTCTCTTCCAGACCAAGTTTGGTGAGTCTGAGAAATTATAGTTTACCAAGTAATATTGATCACCTGTAGTATCGACAGATGCTGAGAACAATAAATCTTCATTGATTGGAGCAAAATTTGTATGCCTACTAACTCCAAAGGTGAATCAGTCAAGATTAGTGCCAACAGTATCCCATCTACAAGTCTGCATGACTGAGCTCATTATAAAACTGAAGTAGAGGTTTTCTTTCATTTTGATGAGCGAACGAGTATCAGCTGTTGCAGAACTACTAATTGATATCTGCCTTGAAATAGTCAGATCTGTAGTCTGAACTTCATATATCTTATCGCTGCCGTTCTCTTGTATATAAATGAAGTCTTTATTCAAACTAATTGGGTATGAATACTCGTATGAATTGGTATCATAAGTCATAACCTGAATTTTGTTCAGCTCATGGTCTGTCTTGTAAATAATAGTGACCCATGGGGATGAGATAGCAATAAAATGCCCAACAAGATACAGTAAGCCGTTATTCTGATCATCAAGTATGTCAACAAAGTAATGCGAATTATACCCAGGGATTGTAAAGCTCCCTGAGATGGCTGACCCAGCCTTCTGGTACTCATTGGTGCACACATTGGCTGATACTGCCAGAATAGACAAGAGCAGGGAAGAGATTGCTTTCATTTTAATGTTATTAATTTATTATTTAAGTTTCTTTATATTCATCGCCTTCCGGGGTTTTGGGGTTTTGGGGTTTTGGGGTTTTGGGGTTTTGGGG